TATAAGTATTATTCAACTGTTACTGAGTGGGGGCAGTATCCAATCTACCAGATTGGACCAATGCGGCAAACAGCATCGCTCAGCCTAAGTAGGTCAAACCCTAAACCCCTAAACCCTAAGCCCCAAACCCCATGTAAACCCTAAACCCTAAACCCTAAACCTCAAACCCCCTGCACTCTAAACCGCGATCCGCGAAAAAAACACCGCATCCACAGCACAACAGCACTCCAGGGTTTCGGGTTTAGTCTGGGATTTAGGGTAGGGTTAAGGGCTTAGGGACTCTATACCCCAAAGCTCTGTAAACACCGCAGCTCGTACCACAGATTGAACAAACACAGAACAAGTGTAAGATCCTAAACTTGCCAGCCTAAGCTTTGAAAGCAAGGCACCTGAAACCCAAACAAAAGACATGCCGACCGCCTACATTCTAAACTAGAAGTGCCAAACACAAGACACCATGCCCTAAACCCTAAACCCTAAACCACAAAGATCACGAAACCAAGGCGAAGGCAGGTTCCGCTGGATGGCAGCCCGGAACATGGGCCTTGCGTTTAGGGCCTAGGGCTTTGGGTTTAGGGTTTTGGGTTTTGGGTTTGTTTAATGTGCAATACGCCGCTTTTCTGTGCACCCCGTTTCGGAGGTGCACTGGTAGAAACAACTGTGCAAAACAGATACTCCTCAATACTCTATCATCAGAGCTCTCAGTACCACCAGTTCAGATGCACCAAGCTACTCCCCAGGAGGTGGACGACGGGCTCGCGGCGGGCTGCGACTAGGGTCTAGCTCAGTACGCACTCGACCCTCACGAAGTATCTCCCCATGTGTCTCGGCAAGACTTTCCATTGTATCTCCCTCTCCATCTTCACCAGGTTCGTTACTACGTCCATGCAAGTGCGGTGGAAGAAGGTCCGGGTCAAGCCACGGGGTTTAGGGTTTAGGGCTTCGGGTCTAGGGTTTAGGGCTTAGGGTTTTTTGCGAGGACAAGGCTTTCATGCAGGCTTTGGGGCTCAGACCCGAAGGCAAAAACTTGGATCCAAGGGTTTATAGGTTCCTCCTTTCGGTCCCTGTCAGGGTCAAAAACCCTTTCGTTCAAGGAACCCTTAAAAGAACCTAGACCAACTTGTAGATCCTACGCTCTGAACCCCAAGATCGCATCATCTAAACCTCCAGGCCTTAATAATTACAATATCCTTTATAGTACTATTCCAATAAGGAAC